ACATTTTTTAAAACCTTTTATTAGTTTTGGCCTTTTCACTTTATGAAAGATATGTAAAAGTTGTTTTGTTTGTCTATATACTTTCCGAACATGAAAAAAACCTGATCCCTAACCTCCAAGGTTGATCTTCCTAGTAATGAGAGACAAATAAGCACAAAACAAGGTGTAACGTGGAACAGTAGAAGATACACAAGGTATTTTGTATAGTGGAGGATAAACAGGTAAGGTAGAGTATTTGTTCTTTCAGAGGATATTGGGCATATCTGCATAGGGGATAGGGCTTCTAAGCTAAATTTATATGGAAAAGCATACACAGGTTATATAGGGAGATCTTCTGCTACAGTTTTGTGCTATGTTGAATGACTATCCCCATTACACGAGGTAAGCCTAGAGACCCTTACTTACTCTGTGTTTGGTACCAACCTTAGCACTTAAAACTGTAGGTAGGCTATTCAATCACGCTTGGGTTATTTGTTCTTCTAGAATAACAATAATATTTGTCACCCTAGTAGAGCCTTATAACAAATAATGAATTCATGCTGATTAAATATATTTATGGTTTCAGTTAAAAGATATTACATTGTTTAAAGTAGGATTGTTGCTATTTTTATAAATACTGTGATGATGATGTTAGTGGTTGCTGTTATTCCACTTCCCGGATAAGGAAAATAAACATAATATGTGGGGTGTGGTAACTCTTGGGTTCCAAAGCAATGACCCTTCATGACCAATCTTTCATGCCTTCCATATCAGGTCTGCAAAAAGAATTTCCCATATATGTCTTAGGACAGAAATCCTAAATCCTTTTATTCTGTTCAGGAAAACACTGTTTATAGTTATACTACCTGTCATTTTTCTCTCTTCAACTAGGGGAGTTCATCAAAGCTTTGTATGAGTCAGATGAGAACTGTGAAGTAGATCCCAGCAAATGTTCAACTAGCGAACTGATAGACCATCAGAGTAACCTGAAAATGTGCTGTGAGCTGGCTTTCTGCAAGATCATCAACTCTTACTGGTGAGCTGGTGTCTGTGCATCATCCCTTGCTTATGGAATGTACATTTTTCCTTGTAAAAGTCATCACAATGTTAACTGTTATTTCCCAACCAAAGGAAGGTCTTATGGGAAAAATTGAAAGTTATCCTAATACAGTCCTGTCTAAAATCTAAAACACCAAGGTAAGCAGAAGTATTTCTATACTGGCAATCTAACCTTTGCCCAGAATATTAGTATTATACTCTCTAATACCAAAAGTATTTTTCTGGCTTTCTAAAATATTTACTAGTGTTGAACAGATGTGTTCATGAATTTTTTTAAATATATTTTTTTCATTATACATGTTTTTGGGGTACAGCTTGTTGTTTCAATACATGCATATATTGTATAATGATCTAATCAGAATAGTTGGCAACCTGTCACCTAAACAATTACCATTTCTTTGTGGTTATATCATTGAAGGTCTTCTTTTCTATCTTGAGATAAACAGTACAATATTACTAGCTATTGTCACCCTAGAGCACCAGAACTCATTCTTCCTAACTAACTGTAACCTTGTGCAGTTCTACCAACCTTTCCCCACCCCACCCCCTCATTTTCCCTGCCTCTGGTAACCACTATTCTGCACTCTATTTCTCTCTCTTTTTTCTCTCTTTTTAATATATTTTTATTAATTGACCCATGATAATTGTATATATTTATGGAGTACAATAGGATATTTGGGTACATTTACACTGTGTGCAATGATCATACCAGGGTGCTTAATATATTCATTACCTCAAACATTTGTCACTTCTTTGTGTTAGGAACATTCAGCATCATCTCAGCTAGCTATTCAAAGATACACAGTACTTTCTTGTTAACTGTAGTCTCCCTGTATTACTAGAGAACACTAGATCCCATTCTTCCTATTTTTCTACTATTTTGTATCCACTGACCACCCTCTCCCTATCCTCTCTCCCTCATCCCCCCTCCATCTCTAGTAACCACTAGATCAACTTTTTTAGCTTCCACATATGAGTGAGAACATGTGGTATTTCTGTGTGTCTGGCTTACTCCACTTATAACTTTCTCCAAGCTCATCCATGTTACTGCAAGTGGCAGAATTTCTTTCTTTTTTATGGCTGACTAGTATTGCATTGTGTATATATACCACATTTTCTTTATCTTATTGTGAATAGAGCCGTGATAAACATGGGAGTTCAAATATCCCTTCAAGATGTTGATTTCCATTCCTTTGGATATAGAATTCCAGTACTGGGATTGCTGGATTGCGTGGTAGTTCTGTATGTACTTGTTTGGAAAATCTCCATACTGTTTTCCATAATAGCTGTACTAATTTACATTACCACCAACAATGTTTAAGAGTTCCCCTTTATCCTCATCCTCACCAGCATTTTTTATTCTCTGTCTTTTTGATAGTAGTCATTCTAACTGGGGTGAGATGATATCTCATTGTGGTTTTGATTTGCATTTCTCTGATGATTAGTGATATTGAATATTTTTTCATGGCCATCTATCTGTATGTCTTTTTTTCCAAAAATTTCTATTCAATTTCTTTGCTCTCTTTTTAATCAGATTTTTTTTTTAACTATTTAGCTGTTTCAGTTCTTTGTATATTCTGGATATTAATCCCTTATAGGATGCATAACTTGCCAATATTATGTCCCATTCTGCAGGTTGCCTTTTCACTGTTTTGATTGTTTCCTTTGCTGTGCAGAAGCTTTTTAGTTTGATATAATCCCATTTGTTAATTTTTGCTTCTGTTCCCTGTGCTTCTGAAGTACTTTTCCTAAAATCTTTGCCCAGACTTATGTCCTGAAGTGTTTCCCCTATGTTTTCTTCTGGAACTTTTACTGTTTCATGTCTTACGTTTAAGTCTTCAATCCATTTTGAGTTGACTTTGGTATATGGTAATACTTAGGGGCCTAGTTTCATTCTTCCACATATGGATGTCCAATTTTCCCAGCACTGTTTATTGAAGAGACTGTCCTTTCCCCAACATGTGTTCTTTGTCAAAAATCAGTTGACTGTAGGTACAAGGGTTTATTTCTGAATTCTCTGTTATGTTCCATTGGTCTGTGTGTCTGTTTTTGTATCAGTACCATGCTGTTTTGATTACTATAGTTTTGTAGTACATTTTGAAGTCAGGGAGTGTGATACCCCCCACTTTGTTCTTTTTGCTCAGGATTGCTTTGGCTATTTGGGGTTTCTTGTTGTTCTGTACAAATTTTTTAATTCTATTTTCTATTTCTGTGAAGTATGTCATTGGTAGTTTGATGGGGATTATGCTGAATCTGTAGATGACTTTGGGTAGTATGGTCATTTTTTTTTTTTTTTGTCTATTTTGTGACTGGTAAGGGGATCTCAACCCTTGGCTCGGTGTCACCCGCACCGCGCTCAGCCAGTGAGCGTACTGGCCATCCTTATATAGGATCCAAACCCGCGGCGGGAGTGCTGCTGCGCTCCCAAGCGCTGCACTCTCCTGAGTGCGCCACGGGGCCGGCCCAGTATAGTCATTTTGAAAATATTGATTCTTCCAATCCAGGAGCGTGGGATGTCTTTCCATATTTGTGTGTCTTTAATTTCTTTAATCAGTGTTTTATAGTTTTTATTGTAGAGATCTTTCACCTCCTTGGTTAAATTTATTCTTAGGTATTTTTTATTGTTATTAGTGCTGTTGTAAATGGGATAGATTTCTTGATTTTTCTGCAGGTTCATTAATGTATATAAATGCTACTGATTTTTATATGATTTTGCTTCCTACAACTTTATTGAATTTGTCTAGGAGTTTGTTTTTTTTTTTTTTTTGTCTTTTTTCGTGACCAGCAACGGATCGCAACCCTCAATGTTGCGCCCGTACCGGACCGGGACCGGCTACGGGATCGCAACCCTTGGTGTTGCCCCCGCGCCCCCGCTCCTCGCTCAGCCAGTGAGCGGCCGGTCTGTATGTGGGATCCAAACCCTCGGTGGGAGCGCCGCCGCGCTTCCCAAGCGGCACACTGTAGCAGTGCGCCACCGGGCCGGCCCGAATTTGTCTAGGAGTTTTTTGATAGAGTCTTTATGTTTCTCTTAATATAAAATAATGGCATCTGCAAACAGGGACAATTTGACTTCCTCCTTTCCAATTTGGATATCCTAAATTTCTTTCTCTTGACTAATTGCTCTGACTAGGACTTGCAGTACTGTTGAATAGAAGTGATGAGAATGGACATCCTTGTCTTGTTCTAGTTGTTAGGGGGAAAGCTTTCAGCTTTTCCCTGTTCAATATGTTAGCCATGGGTTTGTCATATATAGTCTTTATTTTATTAAGATACTTTCCTTCTATACCTAATTTGTTGAGAGTCTTTATCATGAAGGGATATTGAACCTTATCAAGTACTTTTTCTGCATCTATCAAGACAAGCATATAGTTTTTTTCTTTCATTCTGTTCATGTGATTTATTACATTTATTGATATGCATATGTTGAACTATCCTTGCATCCCAGGGATAAATCCCACTTGATCATGGTGTATAATCTTTTTGATGGGTTGTTGAATTCAGCTTGCTAGTATTTTATTGAGGATTTTTGCATCTGTGTTCATTAGGGATATTCGCCTATAGTTTTCTTTTTTTCTTGTGTCCTTGCCTGATTATGAGTTTGGAGGAATTCTGTACACTTCATGTTCATGAATTTTGGTGATAGCTCTAACCCTATCAATTGGTGAGATTTTGAAAGATTTTTGATGAGCATTCTTTTTTTTTTTTTGTCTTTTTCCGTGTCCGGGAACGGATCGCAACCCTCAGTGTTGCCCCTGTACCGGACCGGGGACCGGCAACGGGATCGCA